TTGAAGGTGCAGGTAAAGAACGTGGCTGTTGTTGATTTGCATAGTTTGCATCTTGTTTACCATCTCCTTTATCTTTTCCTTTTCCTTTCTTGCCTTTTCTCTTGCCTTTTCCCTTTCCTTTGTGGGAAAACCATGCTTCTTCAAGTTGTTGCCAAAAGTCATTGGCATCTTCATGTTCTCCTTGAAGATAGTCATTCATATCTTCGGCAATGATAGCATCATATGCTACTTGATTTGACTCCCAAGTGTCCTCATAAGGATTCTCTTCATAATACTCTTCTGGATAAGTTGTCGATTGCTCATCAGCATAATGGCCTTTACCTCGTCTCTTTCCTTTTCCTTTTCCTCGAGGTCTGAAAAATCTGCGGCCTGATCTTCCTTTTCCTTTCCTTTTCTTCTTCCTTTTCCTTTGCCTTTTCTGGCTCTTCTTCCTTGGAATCTCCTCTGGAACCAAGAGAAATTCTGTTCATCATATACCCAAAAGACATCGTCCAGGGCATCTAGGAATCCTTCTGTTCCATCTTCTTCATCTTCGGCCCAATAGCCAAATGTACCATCGAGTTCTCCTTCGTCTAGTACGAGAAATGATCTTCTACCTCCAGCACCTGCTGGCTGCATAAGAGGATTGTCTACTGAAGTCTTTGTTGTGCAGAACATCTCAATGAAAACTGTCCTCAACTCTGTTGTGGTGTATTGCTGCAGGACCCTGCCACGATGAGTCATCAAAGAAGTCAAAGTGTTTCGCTGGTCCTGAGACAAATCTGCAAGTGACAGCATGAGTAAGGCAATGAGATTCTCTCCTAAAGGAAAATCGTTCTGATGAAGAATTCTCATATTGCCATTGACACATTCTGCATGATTTCCTGAATTCTTTCTGCTGTTGGAGCTACTCCAGTCACTGCTGCATCAGCTTGCATTTGAGCTTGTACCTGTGGGTGTACCTGTGTTACTGGATCCAACATGTCCATCCAACTGCTCATAAGCCTTTGGAGTAAAATCTGAAATCTGGTCATCCACTTCATCATGTCGGCTGATCCTCGATTGAATCGCACGAATTGCATAAACCTGTATAGGAATACATTGGTTGATCCTTTCACAAAATATGGTCGTAGTACTCTCTTGAAGTAATCTACTCCAGCTCCTGGTGGCTCATTAGCCTTCAATGCATCTCTGTCTAAAACTCGCTTGTATACCGCTGCTTCTCCTTCTAGTCGGTTTCTCAATGCTGGTCCTCTCTTCTCATCTTCCAGCTCGGTGATATCACACCAATCGTCTATGGCATCCTCATAGGAAAACCATGAAGTCTTTCCATCATAAGATGGGGGCACCTTTGTAGTGACCTGTGTTGTCATAGCTATCGCTGCTGGTTCTCTTCTCACATGCCTATTCACGTAGGCTGCTGGCTCATAAGCCACATCCGCATCAGGCTCTTCCCAGTCGTCAATCCAATCCATGGCCGTTTTGCCCACAAGCAATTCTATGCCTAGGAAAGGAGCTCACCTGGGTCTTCCAGGATCACTGCTCCGCTACCACTGAAAGAGTGACTAGGGCGTACACGGTAGAGGTGCAGACCGGTAGTGTGTTTTGCTCACGCAGAGTCTTATCCTATATCCCTTGAGCCTTATGGCAGTCAAGCATGGACACACTAGATAGGCCACTGGAGTGGAACCTGTACAAGTATGCCTATACATTTCAAGGGGGGGACTAAGCTCGCAACAGGTTCCAATGAATTCCAATGAACCTTGAACAAACTTCGGTCGCTGCAACCACATACGGCTTGCCCAAGGGCTGCCACCTCTGACCGCTGCGGTCACGTAGAGGCATGAGCCAACTTGGAAATCCAAAATGAGACAGACATCCCACTTCTTGTGGCGTAAGCCATCTGCTGTCCGCTCCGGACACTTACATCTCCGAGAAGGGGAGATAACGACAAACCCCGTTCGACGGGTCCACGGGAGGCACTCTACGGGCTCACCCCGGGTTGGCACGAGGCCAAACACACTTAGGATAGGGTGTACTGAACTGAAAGCGGTGCCACACGCCGGCCTAGGTTACCATTTCCCAAGAGTACAGGTAAAACCTAATGGAGGCTGGGGGTCTTCAAACGGAAGTGAGGCCCAAAGCGCAAGCACCAAATCGATGAGTTCGGATCGACAAGATGACGGCGGTCCGTGCACATCTGCAGAATTAAAAGGAATAAATGGCCACCAGCTGCATCTTACAATGCGCCCAGGTGCACCAAGCAGGTACGTTTTCACGACAGCTTGGATGGGTCTTCGTTGGCCCATGCCATCCAAGTGTCCATGGGCCCCCTGCCAACAAGAAAAAACAATTCAACGGAATCCCTGTGATTACAAGGGGTACACACACACAATTCTCTATAAAATGATGTACTGACCCCCTAGGGTGTGGCGGTTCTAAAACGGGGCTGACCCCCCCATTTCATAGAGGAAATAGGCAGGGGGATCAAACAACCATTGAACTGGGAAGAAACTTTATCTCTCACTTGTCTGGACGTTTGAAGTCTGCTGAAATAGGACTGTCACATGCTGAAACCCTTTCTTGTGGAAAGAGCGGCGACGCATGCTTTTCTCCTGGAAAATCTCAACGCAAAGCTTCTGGCCGGCAAATAGATCTCCCGAGGACCACCAGCAGGCATGACTGGCACAGTATCGGTTGATTGGTTGATTCTGGCATTTCTTCGTCGTGAGGACGGTTGTTCTCTGAACCTTACAATTCAGGAAGTCTTCGGCGCAAGTCTCTCTATTCATCTCAGCGCTTTGGCTCCAAGTCCAATTTTGTGGACTCCTACTGGACACATCGCTGCGTCGCTGCGTGCCATTTCGTCCGAAAGCCTAGGGCCTGGTCGGCCTGGCCTTTAGGGCCTAGCAGCCGCATAGTCAACCTCGGCCCTTTTCAACGGCTGCGCACCGCCGACGATTTGTGAACTGGAATGATGCAGCCGCAGCATGCTTGTAGTGCTAAACAAAAAACAACCTCTGTGCATTAACAAAAGAAAGCCACCATGGCCCTAACACTACATTCGAGGCTCCCCTTGCCATGAATTTTCACCAAAGCAAATGCAAAAAAGAACAAAGCTTCTATTCAATAAGATTCAACCGGGTGGTACGAACGTATGGCTCTATGAAACGATGACTGCGAAACATGCCTGGCTCTTTCGCCAGGGCAAACGATTCTGGAATTGGCGAAAATTATTTGATGCCATGCGCTGGCATGTGGTTGCCTTCTTTGAAGCAACTGTCGGGCACAACCCTCCAAGTGGCCTTTTTTTTGAACAATTAGGAACACAATTTAGACAGTGTTTACTTACCAATGTTCACTAAACACTTTGTGTCTTTTCCAAAGTTCTAGATTGCCATGTAGCAGGAGGTCACAACTTCTATACGATTTTGAAATTCATTGACATTGACCAACAGCTATGGTGCAAGGTCGTCCCCAACTGCTTGAGGTCAGAGCCTCTTTGGCATCCAAGACCAAACATCAGAAATTCCATGAGGTCAGCCGAACACACCCAATCGATTTGATTCATGATAGTCCACCAGTGTTGTTGGGAATGACCTTCATGGAATATCTAGATGATGTGGTTCATATCGATTTGATCTGTATTTGTCGATGGGCCTAATGCCGAGTTAAAATATTAGACCTGCGGCCGAGACTGAGTGATAACGATCGTCCCATCCTCAGCCACGGCACCTTCAATGTCCTGCACCAAATCATTTGTGGCATGAGAACATGCCCATGACACAAGGACTCTAGGCCATCTTCAAATCTACAGATGAGATCTCGTGAGATTGTCACATGCTCACTTGAGTCACGAGCGTCGCTCGGTTCATGTGGGGATGCGTCTTGAATAACCACTTTTGCTGGGTGCCGCATCGGAACGGCACTGCTGCACTGCCTGCGCCTGCCCTCCAAAGTTCTTCTCAATTTGCCTAGCAAAATTGCAATTGCGACACTAAACTTTTTCGAGATGGTCAATTGGGCCCACGAAAGAAGGTCTGTGACGTGGGTTGTGAAAACAGATCTGTGGAATGCGTCAGTCCTAACTGTCGCCAAGTACTGACCTCCCCCACAGCGTTTCAACATCCATCAGGCACATCTTGGGAAGTTCCACTACAGCACCAGTACAACCTAAAAGCCAGATCATCTCGCCAAATAGGGCCTACACTCTGCTGGTTCTCACCTTCCAATCTGAAAGAGCTGTAGTAAGAGCTGCGATCGAAATTGCTCGTCAAAGAAGAGCGGCTCCTGATCGCACGCGGACTGATTTCATGTAATAGAGCAGCAGGACAAGAAAACCATTATATTTAAGCTTTCAAAAGGTGGTGTGTTGAGATGCCTCTTCCAATCATACATCAATCAACTGTGTAGCAACTTCACAACTGATAAAAACCGAACTGAATGCCTCTGCATAGTCCACAGAACGATGCTCACCTTAGGGTGCTTTGGTCTGTGAAGTGAAGTCAGATTAAAGTGCCGACTGATGGGCTTGACTGCCTTGCTCACACTGTGTTGATACATAAGAGACAAACACATAGAGAGCCGCCAACATAGAGTTTGCATGTCTCACATCTCTCTTTGCAAACTCTGCGACCATCTGCACAGAACAACAGGTTGGACTCCGGAGCATTCCATACCAAACATGCAAAGAATCCAGGTTCTCTCGAGCCGTAGTCTCTTTCAGTGCCAGTGGCAATCCTTCACCGTGACAGAGTCGTAGAGCCCAGCGCCGGCAAAACCTTCAAGGTCCTCCGGTGCCAAAGGAGAGCAAAACTGAACATCAACATGAACAGTTTGGGACATCAAAGCAAACATGTTGGTACTTTTGTCCACCTCGCCGTTGGAGTCAGAACGGAAAATGGCTGTGCCACCTCCAACAATACGCAAAAAGGTCAAAGCCGGCTTAGCACATATCATAATGACGTGTCAGGTGCAAGGATCGTGCAGTGCTGCGTGTTGAAAGGGTTTGTGTCGTCTTTTTAAGCGGCATTGGCACCTGGCGGCACAAAGACACCCTCAGGCTTGGAGGGGTACACATGGACATTGATTGCCTGACCTATCAAAACTACAGGGCGAAAGTTCGAATCCAAATCATACGGACATTCTTTCACATCCACTTCGACCGCAAAAATGCACGGCCCACATTCCACCCAGCCCACACGGCCTTCCACGCTTGCTGAAAGAGCACGACCAGGTGCGTTTGACACAAGCGACTCGCCCAGCCCTACACAGAGCTCGACCAGAGCAGAGCTCGGAGAGGCACCCGGCAAAGGTGACCGGGTGTGGATGACAAAGGCATACCTGGCCAGCTAGGCAATCTTGCGGCAAACAGAAACAATATGATTAACATTCTTTCACGATGGAATAGCCACTCTTCACGGAAAAAATGTCCTTCACGGCCTCATCACGAAGCATGGTCTTAAAGCCGTGTCTGGCTAACATGTGTTGGCGCTAGAGATTCGTATCAACAAATAGTGACTGGTATGTTCTTATATAAAAATATAAAGCCCCCTTACACTCCCCTTTAGATCAACTCCCATGTAGCAGTGGAGCTGCCACAACTTACAACAAACTCCAAGTGCTAAACAGAAAGTCTGGCAGTAAACTTTCACATGAATTATTCACCTTGCCCTGTGTGAGCGTTTAGAGGAGTATGGATGCAAGAAGGATCTGCTAACAAAAGGCTCAAGTCACCAAGCCTGACTTGAGGTATTATAAAGAAATCTTTTTAGTCGCTTTCAACCTCTTTCATCAAGTGGAACTTGAGTGAGCAGGGCTGGAAAAGCTAGCAGCTAGCATCAAGCGTGGATCAGCTGAGATTGATGAAGCGAAACGCGTGAAGTAGATAAGGTGGGGTACGACTCCTTTTCCTTTCGCATATGCTGAGTCTCAAGAGGCTCTTGGTTCAAAGAGCATGCAAGGAAAATGGCCTAGCCAACTAGTGACCATGATAGTCGGGTTGGATCACAGTCACGTCTTCAAAACTCACAGCTTGATGCAGTCCCCGCAAACAAGGGGGAATTTTGCCGTCCACATGCTGTGGATTGAGTTTCCAGACAAACATATGAAAAGCATCTGCAATCTGGCCAAAATCAAGGTGGTTGGTTTCTTGCCGCGTGCGCCAACCAAGCGCTGATCGAACGACACAGATCTTCTTAAATGCATCTTGAATTTTGTGCATTTCTGACGCACCAAACCACGACCAAATATGAGTGTTGTAGAGAAGGCGAGGCGCCACAAGGCCGCCGAACAAATAATTTTTGTTCTTCTGTGCAATGTTACGATTTGTCCACCATGACTTGACAAGTGGACCCCATGCTTCGCGAGCACTCGCAATACGGTATTGCACCTCTCTACACGGTTTTGGAATCGCATTGGACAAACGAACCTAAGTGCTTGTACGAGCGCACCAACCTAAGGCACTCTGCGTGATTTTCAAGCAAAACCGGAATCTGGCCTCCCTGGGTGACCCACAGGTTATGCTTGAACTTCCTCACACCAGGGCCCCGCAGCATAGGCATCAGTTCAATCTTTTCTGGCTTGAAAGTCACTTGCGAGCCTCTGGTACGGGCTGAGTCACATAATGCCGCAGCGGTGATGGCAGCAGCCTTGATTACTGCTGGATTTGCCCTGTGAATGAGACCGAAGGCGACGTCATCAAAGAAGGCCACGTCGGCAAAGCAAATCTGCCCAGAGCTGATGGCCTCATCCCAACGCCCTTCAAACAAGTCAAGCCCTCCCCAGCTTGCAATCCTGGCTCTTGCCTCACGCATGACCTTTTGCATGACGATGTTGAAGCCAGTGTCACCAATTGGGTCTCCCGGTCGAGTCCCTCGGCTAGTACGAGCCACTGCTTCCAACCCACGCATGTGGAAATGTGCATTGCAAAAATCATCGGCTGTGATTTGCTGCGCGAGTGGGCTTTGATCTTGCAGCGCAGCATCCTGCTGCGCTTGTCTCTCCCATTCATCAATCTCTGCAGGACTGACACCATAGTACTTTAGAAAGCTGCACAAGAAGGCAACGGAGAGATTCTGACCAAAGAGCCCTTGCCGAATGACACTGTAAAATGCAGAGTTACGGTCAAGGAAAACAAAGGCTGCGGACAGACCAGCAGACGCTGCGGCGCTCAACATAATCTGGACAACATGATGACCAAAGTCAGTGCCTCTACCTTGTCGCCCACCAAAACAGGCTTTGCTGGCAATTTAGCTGGCTCTGTCACCGCTCCTTTCTTGTAGAGAGGAATGGCAATGCCAGCTTTCCCCTCCAACGGCTCTCTTGCAGCGCGCATTGCCTTTGTGATCACCTCATGTAACATGTGGCACATGGTATCCCCTCCAGCCTGCAGCGCCTCATTAGGAATACAGTCTATCTACGAATTTTACGCTGGACTTCTCAATAGGAAGGGAGATCACGTCGCTGAATCTCCAGCTGCGAGCCTGGACTGTGCAAATGCCTAGCTTGCAGCTCTTCAATGGAAAGACTTTCAGCAGCCTCGATTTCTGCAAACCTTTCGAACCATATCTTTTGCTGCTGGGAATAGGGTTCAGCCGTTCAGCCATCAACCCCGTTGGTGTTTTCAAAATGGACAACACCTTCCGAGTTGCGGCAGACTTGGATTTGCGTCCTGGCATGGCGAGGCGAGCAAACACTTCTTTAAAGTTTCCTGCCAACCCTTCTCTGTCAAGATCTCGGACAATTTCATCAAAAAACACCTGACGATCTTGATGACATGCTTTGCGGACCTTCTTCTCTGCCTCTCGAAGCTCATACTTAAAGATGACATCCCACACCAAATCCCCATTCCGTGGAAAGGCATCCAAAAGATACCTCTTCCAAGCGATCGTCGCCCTTGTTTGCTGTGACACGCGCGAGGGCTTTCCTGGCTTGGGCTGCGGGGCAAACACCTCTTCTGCTAGTGCTCGAATTTGGCTCCTCTGTCAATGCGCATGTGTGTCGATATCAACATCCCATTGTGGTTGCGGAAGTTGGGCCAGTTTCTGCTGAAACTCCTGAACTTTGTCTGCTTGCTGGCAAAGTTTGCGATCGATTTTGCTCTTTCGGTGAGCACTGCCTTGCAACCATGCGCCCTCGAAAGTCCATAGCCAGTGGAACATGATCACCCACTGTCAAGACTCATCCAGGTACTTGTCTGGATGGCCATGGGCGCATGCTGTTCTGAGAGGCCTATATAATCAATCCTTTTCCAACTTCCAGCAGGGCGCTTCCATGTGCCATAGAGGGCCTACATGAGTGTTCGGAAAGGTGGAGGGGCAAACAACACGGGCATCCTGGACGAAATCACTGACGAAACTGGATGCCCCATTGGAAGGCTGCGCTCCTGCATCACCAACTAGTTCGGAAGTGGCATTAGCATCTATACAGCAATACAGAGTACCAAAATGGCATCTTTTGGGGCTTGGCTAACAACTTTGCCCAGTGCTTGCCACCAATCACACAGATTCCTGGCCGACTCCTTACCTTTCCAGTAGGGAGCATGCGCGGCACAAGAAACCATTTCCCAAGTGGGTTGTCGGCCCGAATGGCGAGCAATCTAGGCTCCTGATGCGCCACTGCGAAAACCGTTTGCTCATAACCGATGTCCGAGCCTTTCGTCCATGATTTGGCGCGGTGGATCCATAGCTCACACCCATGATGCTTGGATTGCCCTATCGTTGCAGCTCCTGCACTGCAGATCTTGTAGTGATCCGTGTAGGAAGCTCCAGCTTCTGCGCGGGCTTCCTGTAGCCCTGCGCGATGCAACCTCTTCTCCCTGTTTGGTCAAAAGACAGATCATCAACCAAGGAAAGCACATTACATGTGAGGAGCTTGAGGTTGACTAAATGAGCCTCTGCTTGCTCAAATTTTTCAGTTTCCACTGGTGCCTCAACCGGCGCTGGGCTCCAACATTGAGCAAACCTGCTGGAGACATTGGCCACGCGTACTGTCGACGATGGTGGTACAAGACAGACCACCATTCGAGCTCCTCAGGATGGCAAACCAATTCCTGCAACCAAGAGAAATTAGGTTGTTCCAGTGGACCATTGGCAGCTGCGTATTGAGCAATTCTATCTGCCAGCTCATTCCAAGCGTGGCCTGTGTGCTTGCGCCCGCAATGTCGCTATCAGCCCTTTGCTGCGGGCAAGCCTCCCCAAGCTAGAGACTAATCCAATAAGTGGTCGGTCACACCGGGGGGGCTACCATGCCGTCAATAAGCTCGCGCGAGAACCAAGACAATTTGGACATCAAGCAACAAGGAGAGTGCATATGCAAGGGCCCAAAAATGGCCGCAAGCTCCGATTCCACACTGTCTTCCCAGACAGCTCCTAACCACTGTGGGTGGTCTGGGCTTGAAGAGACAACTCCAGCGCAAACACCTTTGACACATCATCGCCACGATGGGCACCTCGCAAAGTGACTACCATACCCCATGCTTTGCCTTTGGCACTTACTGAGCCGTCAACATAAATCGCACACTGTGTGGTGTCCCAATCTGCTCTGCTTTGGGCCAACTTGCCAAAGGCATCGGCAGTTGCAGGATGCACTTTCAACCCTTCCGGCATTCCCACCAGCGAGTTTTCCCACATACTGTGAATCTGTTGATCCCAATGCTCTGGAACATTGACTTGCGCGAAACGGGAAACCTGAGGCTTCTCCTGCATCATGGAACGCAGCGACAACATCATTTTGGGATGACGGCTAACGCATGTGTCTCAACTTTCGACTTGCTTGTTCAGGTCTACATCATCGAAGCTAGCGTCGGAGGTCGAATTGCCCTCGAAGATAAACCCAATCTTGTGACCCCAATGCTTGACCGCAAGCCGAAGGCACAGTACAATATGCATGCATGGTGAGTCTTTTGTTCCTGAACACACACGGGCAAAACTTCACGACGCACATCACATACACACCAACCTCTCAAGAGACCAAAAAGCTCAAGGGGGATAAGAGCATATTCCGGTGCAACGCAATCTCGAAACGTTTGCACCCAACCTTGCATTGTTTCTTTCACTTGGGGTGACAGTCGACTAGGTGCAACATCTTCCTGCTTTTCACTTTTCAATTGCTGTCGAACTGCTGACGTCAAGAAAGATTTCAGGAAAGGATTTTGACACTGGTCTGACGTAGACTATCACAGAAATTCGCATAATACAAGCTTGCGATGACAGGGTCTTGGCAAGAATGATCGTTGACCTCAACCTGACTGTCAACCATTGTCAGGAGGTGGCAACTGCACAGAGGCTTGAATGACGTGACGAACGAGGGTCTCCAAGCATAGACACTACGCTGAAGCAGGG